ATATATATATATATATATATATATTTGATATTTATAAATTTGTTACACGTGATTGTTATCACAGATATTTTAAAACCATCCATATAGCCACAACTAGAACAACGATCCCAATAACAGACAACAACATGCCTAAGCATGAGCAACCACCCTTTGTGCGTTTATTCAGAATCGCCAGGTGCCTCTGCACTCTCTGTTTTTGTTAATTAAAAAAAGCAAACAAATTGTTAATAAATGACCCATTTTACACAAATGGGTTAAAATTGCCACCTCTATTAAAAAACCAACATTCTATGGTGTAAACAACGGGTTGTTTCTTTTTTTCCCCAATAAGTCATGTAGGGGAAAAGTAGCTGAATGGATAGTGTTGTATTTGTATACATAAGGTCGGTTTCTTTTCTAGACCTAATAAACCGTCTTAATGAGGCTAAAAGACCATTTTACCTTTACATTCCAAAAAAAAAAAAACTTTTTCACAGCATTAGTATTCACCAATTCTAACGTGAAAAGAGTTGGAAGGAAAAAAGGGGGGGAAATAGGTAAGGGGCTAGTGTCTTAAGGTATTAAGCCGTGTTTTTTGGTTTAACTCATTAAGCCATTCTGTCCAGATCAAGTCAAAAGGAAACAACCATGTATAGTTGCCCAGATTGGCTGCTTAAAATCCATTAAGCTTATTAAGTGAAAAAGAAACAGCCCCTAAGACATTATATTGTTATTATGATGTGCAGGTTGTACTAGCATATATATGTAAGTTTATCAGTAAAAGGGTATCACCTTAAGTCGGGAATCCGTGACATCCACATGTTCGTCAAGGTCATCCTGCATATCAAAAACAGCAAAACATCACATTTTTCATATCATTGTTGTTGCATTCTATAGGTTGGTTAGGTTATTACACTCAATAAGTAAAGTAGCATATAGTACATATTTTGTACACATGTAAAAGAGATGGAATGACATACAATGAGCCTAGTATGCAAATTAAGCTCCTCGTTGACTGCCAATGCAATATGTTTGGTACTTATCACTGTCTCCTCCAGTTTCCCTAGGCCTTCATCTTGCTCTGCAACACAAAATATCATGAGACATTAAATGTTTCAGGTGTTGTATAAAAAGTATCATAAACCAATAAGTCACTCACCTCTCATGATTTGTCTTTGAAGCCCAACAACGCCAGAGTTGTCTAAACCAGTTGTCCTGCTCATTGCATCAGGTGGCTTAGTATCCGGCCCAAGTAAACTGTCCCTAGTACCAAAGTTTGACATGTTCAATGAAGAGGCCATCTGAGCAACCTTTGTTCTCAAACTTGTTAGCATGTCTCTACGCTTGTTCATCTCTTTCTCTGTTCTGAAAATAACAAGTAAAGTTTTTCCAATGTTTAGAGATAATTGCATAACAGCTTCAACAACATTTCAGACAACAGAAACAACAATAAGAATCTTTTGTGAAACAAGAGTGTAGTAGTCCACGGCATTATGCCAAACGCAAATTGGATTTTGGTGATCAAAAACTGACTTACAAGGGCTGTTTTGCAGGAAGCTTTGTTAGAAGAGACTGTAAGCTATCGAGTCTGGTTCCTAATATTGTAATTTTCCTCCGTGTAGCAGATGAATGACGCTGTGCTTCTGGCCCTGAGCCTAATGAACTACTTGCAGATATCATGCTGGTGATATCATCCGCAAGTTTAGAAGCTTCATTATATTCCCTCACCCATGGATCTGTAGATGAAGCCATTTATTTTATCTGCAAGAATATTGTGGCACATCAATTATCTTTACCTGGTAGCAATTCCTACAAATCACACCCTGCCTGAAATATCTATACAAACAATGAGCAGGTAGTAAACATATTATGATAAAATGCAAAGCAAAGCCAAAGTCGCTGAAACACATCCGTTCCTGTCATATAAATGCTATAGGCTTCGAATTTGTTCTACAACATCAATTCATATGAATATTGATCTACAGCATTCGTAGGAACGTTGTGTATCCAACAATCTACGTAACGTATAAATGCTACACAATAACAAATTTGGGTAAATTAAGGCATCAACAACATTATTGAAGAGCAATCAGGAAAGAACCGTAGAAATTGTTAAAATCGATGAATATTTTGGGAATGGATCGTAAAAGATCGACGAGTAACCGGTAAATTAAGATAAACGGATGGCAAACCGCATGTAGAAAATAATTACCTCTTTTGATATGTGATTCGAAAAACGAGATACGAATTGAAGCTGATGAATCGATCCAATTGTCTATCTGAATGACGATTGACGATACCACTCAACGGCGAGTTTGTCTTCTTCGCACTTTCCTTGCCGTCTGGCTTAAAATAAGGGGTAACTCTTACCGACCCGAAATTGATAAATACAACCCAATGTATATGTTTTAATGCATAATGTACATTAATGTCGCTGTTGAGCACTCGAACATATAAAATGTTGATGATCAGTGCACGTTGTCAAACACTAGTTTCCTTTTGGCTATTTTCGCCCCTGTGGCGCTACAATGTTTTTGGTGGGTTTGGGAGTAGGTTTGGGTAGGTCCATTTTTGCCAAATTCCTTAAAGAAATAATAGGACCATCTCAGTTATCGAACAAAATACAAATACAGTCAACAATTCGGTTTTCTGGCACATTCAAATCATTTCTGGATTATAAAGACAAGCTTGATGACTTTAATCCTTTTAACTATGTTTCATATATGATTTATAAGTAAACTCACTCCTACTTTTCAAAAACTATCATTATATTCAAATATTGTATGTTATGTACCCTCTATCCTCTTCTCTCTTTATTATTGTCATGGAATGCTTGAGCGTTGCTTTAAAAACCGCAAAAGATAAAGGTATTTTTAGCGGCTTAAAGATTCCCCACAATGGGCCGACAATCTCCCACTTATTCTATGCCGACGATACCTTGTTTGTTGGTGAATGGTCTCGTTTCAACATAAAAAAAAATGTCTGTATTCTAAAATGTTTTCATGTATCATCGACTTAAAAGTGGATTTTCACAAATCTAAGGTCTACAACATTTGTGCTCCCCATTGTGAAGTTAACCATTGGGCTAATTTATTAGGATGTGAGGCACGCTCTCTATCATTCAAATACCTAGGTGTTTCGGTGGATGTCAACATGAACTAAATATAAAAACTAGAAACCTATAATCGAGTGTTTCAATTCAAAGGTTTCCATTTGGAAAGTTAAACATTATCATTTGTCGGGAGATTGACTTTGGCCAACGCAATTTTTGGTAATTTACCTACATATTATCTCTCACTCTTTAAGGCTCTCGTAAGGGTACTTGAAAGTCTTGAGAAAACCATAAGAAGGTTTCTTCGTTGTGAAATCCTTATTCTGAAACATCCCAAAAATATAGTCCACAAATTTCGTTTAATTTCATTAGTAAAAACCATAAATATCATTCATCATATAAAAATCATAAACCATGTTTCTCAAAAATAACATAATTATTAATCTGTCAATGTATCAAAATCATATGTCAAACATCAGAGTAAATCCTCCCAAGTTAAAAACTGTGGTGTGTGTCATGCAGTCATCCCGAGCTCTTCCCCTTACTAGCGGGAGTACCTGAAATCAAAACTGAAAACTGTAAGCACGAAGCGTAGTGAGTCTCCCCAACTACCACATACCATACACATATCACATAAACATATCTTGGGCCCCGCCCCTGCTACATCAAGTCATTGCCCGACATCGACTTTCCCGGCATCGGGCCCCGCCCGGCATCGAACCCTATTCGGCATCGGGCCCCGCCCGGCATCGAGCACATCTCGGAATACATGTGAGCATAATCAAATAATACACATAAACCTAAACATATAACATTAACATGTAAACATTCCTCGGGTCCCGCCCGGCATCGGACCGTAATCTGGAAGCATACTAACATTCCTCGGGAACCGCCCCGGCATCGAATCGAAATCCGGAAACATACAAGTACAAATACATGCAAGAATCACAAAGACATCAAGCATACAAGCATTCTTCGGGATCGCCCCGGCATCGGATTGAAATCCGGAAAAACATATAAACTTACATCGGGCCCCGCCCGGCATCGGACCGTAATCTGGAACTACTACTATCTAAACGGGCCGACCTTGGTGCCTTAGACCCTTTCCTACTGGAGGAAAACTCACCTCTCAAGCTGGCTGTTGAAATCTCGAGTGAGGAATCTCCGATGGTTGCTCCAACGACTCCCCGGCTATCATTACCACAATAATCACTTAGTAAAAAACTGAGGATCTTTCTATGGGTAAAATGACCATTTTACCCCTGGTCAAAGTCAACAACTCAACATTATGGTCAAAGTCAACCTTCTGGTTGACCCAACTCGCCGAGTTGCTCCAACAACTCGTCGAGTCCTAGAATCCTGAAATCGCGATCTAACTCGTCGAGTCACCCCCTGACTCGCCGAGTTCCCTAACCACTCATAGTCGATATTTATCGATTCAACTCGTCGATTCCCTTCTCCGACTCGTCGAGTTCTACCTTAAGCTAAAACGGGACCACACAAACCAACTCGTCGAGTTCCTTTATGGACTCGACGAGTTCCTCTGTCTGTTTGGCCATCTTAATAGATTAAGCCTCTATTATCCAAATCCAAAGTCCATACTTCATCTACATACTGGAAATGCCCTTTTAAGGGTAAAGTTTCCAACTTTACCCGTTGATAACCCTTCTTAATGGGTTTAGCTAAAACCCTAGTTCTTTTAGGACATAGATCTTTGTCCAAAAGCCTTATCACTCCAAACCAAAACATGAAAACCCAGATCTAGGTCCTAGATACCAAAAGGACACGTAAAGCCTTAGACTTTCCTTCCATGCATGGCCTTTTGGGGTACAAAAGGCCATAAAAACACCTTAGATCTTGCATGGGGGCTTCAATGGCATAAAGTTTACACCTTTATGCCTTAACAACCCTTAATGATCCCAGATCTAAAAGGATCCTAGCTTGGGATGTCCAAATCCCAAGGGTTAAGCTTCTTGAACCAAAACCCTCAAAAAGTGGAAATAAGGAGATCTAATGAACAAATGATCAAGTTAGAGACTTGATTACCAGAAAATGAATGGAATGAGATGTTGCTTCTGGATCTACAATCTTCTCTTGGAGTCCTCAAGCTTCTTCTTCCTCTACAAGCTTCAAATCACACAACAACACTCAAAAATGGCTCACACACTCGCACAATGCTCTAAGGTTTTGTGGATTAGGGTTTGGGACTTGGAGGCTGAGAATGAGGCCAAAAGGTGGGGATTAAGATGCTTAAATAGGGTGCAAAACCCTAAAATTAGGGTTTCATTCTGGCAGACCTACTCGCCGAGTCGAGGGCTCTCAACTCGCCGAGTAGATAGCTTAAAACTCGCGTCCAAAACTCGTTTCTACTCGACGAGTCTGGGGCTTCCAAATCGTCGAGTAGCTCTATTAAAATGAATAATTTATAAATAAAAGCGTACCAGAAACCAGGCGTTACAAATCCCCCCCACTTGACTTAGACTTCGTCCTCAAAGTATGTTGCGTCTGGAAACAACTCCGGGTAGTGCTCCCTCATCTCCTCCTCGGGCTCCCAAGTCCACTCAGAACCCTTGCGGTGTTGCCACTGCACCTTTACTAGCGGAACAACTTTGTTCCTCAAGGTTTTCGTCTTGCGATCCAGAATCGCCACCGGCCTCTCAATGTAGTTCAGGCTGTCGTCAACCTGAATATCCTCCAAGGGAACAATCGTTGAATCATCCACTAGGCACTTTCGTAACTGAGAAACATGAAAAGTGTTGTGGATCTGGCTGAGCTCTGCTGGAAGATCCAACTGGTACGCCACCTTGCCCACCCGGGCTATAACCCTGAAAGGACCGATGTACCTGGGGCCCAGCTTGCCCCGCTTCCAGAACCGGATGACACATTTCCAATGTGACACCTTCAGGAGGACCATATCGCCCACCTAAAACTCCAAGTCTGAACGCCGCTTGTCGGCGTAGCTCTCCTGCCGACTCTGAGCAGTATGGGGCCTGCTTCGGACCTGTGTAGTCTTGAGTACTACCTCAGTACTCCCCATGACTCTTTGACCGACCTCGCCCCAATAGATTGGGGTCCTACACTTCCTCCCGTAAAGCATCTCGAAGGGAGGTCGGTCTATGCTGGTGTGGTAACTGTTGTTATATGAAAATTCCGCTAACGGAAGATACGTATCCCAACTGCCATCGAAATCCAAAACACATGCGCGTAGCATGTTCTCGAGAGTATGTATCGTCCTATCGCTCTGTTAGTCTGTCTGAGGGTGGAAAGCAGTGCTGAAGTGGAGACGAGTACCCATCTCGTCGTGAAACCGCTTCCAAAATCTGGAAGTGAAACGAACATCTCGCTCTGACACCACCGAGACAGGCACTCCATGCCGTGCCACTATCTCATGCACGTATATCTCGGTTAGCTTCTCGGTCGATATGCTCTCCTAGATCGGGATAAAATGAGCACTCTTGGTCAACCGATCCACGATAACCCATATCGAATATACTCCATGTGCGGTCCTGGGAAGCTTCGTAATGAAATCCATAGTGATATCTGTTGGGTTAAGTGTCTAAGCCCATAACTATAATTGGTATGTACTTGACCCGAGAGTAGCATGGTCCATTTCGGGCTGCCTTCATCAGGACAGTTTGATAGGATGGATATTTGAGTAGGAAGTTATATGTGATTTATTAATATATTATAAGTATAATATATTAATTGAGGAATCATATTATTAAATTAGTATTGATCAAGAATTAATTTGGAATTAATTTAGTGGTCAATTGTTATTTAAATATATGGGGATGGATTTGGTAAATCAATGATTCTTATAGTGTGGGCCAATTGTTATTTAGGATGGGCTAAACCAATATGGTGGTCCATGGATAGTCCATGTAGGTTTAACCCATGGAGCCTAAGTAATATGAAAGGTCATGGAGCATTAGGGTTTGCATGGTTGTAACCCTAGTTATGCCACACTATAAAAGGATCCCCTTAGCACCCAAAATCGGCACCCTAGTGTACTAAGAGTTCAATGAGCCGAGTTTGTGCTTCATAACTTCTCTCTAAATATTCTCCAATTGTTCATGATGTTTGTGACTTGTTTGAGGTGCAACATTTGAGGCACTAAGCTCTTAAAAGGCCAATGTCTACAAGCTACAACAAAGAGGTAATCTTCTAACTCATTTCTATGATGTTTATATATCAATTGTATGCTAGTTGTAGGCTTAATGCTTTGGAAAAAATATTGCATGTATAATTAGAGAAAACATAGATCCAAGGCATTTATGGTTGTATGTGCACCATAGGATGGTGTAGTATACTAAAACCCAACAGTGGTATCAGAGCCAAGGGT